AGAGCATGGGATAGGGCATGGGATAGAGCATGGGATAGATCATGGGATAGAGCATGGGATAGGGCATGGGATAGAATATGGGATAGAGCATGGGACAGAGCATGGGACAGGGCATGGGATAGGGCATGGGATAGAACATGGGATGGAGCATGGGATGGAGCATGGGACACAGCATGGCACAGAACATGGGATAAAGCATGGGCGCATGGGTGCAGAACTTGAAGGATGTAATCAGTGTCACTGGATTGTACGCGCAGAATTGTTAGATTGGAGAAAGTTTTGTTATACGGGCTCTCACTACAAGAAAAAGATTTTAAATACTTACATAGGGATTATAAACAGATCTGTTTTTTTAAGTCTTAGAAGAATGGAAATGGAGGCAGATGAAAAGTGGAGGAAAAGCTCCAGGTTGTGCTAGCTGGATCTGGAAAGCGCCAGCGTGGGAATTCAGTCTGGCTTGTATTCCTAGAGCAAGGATTTGAAACCCCCTGCTCAGCATTTCCTGTCACTGCCATGTCACAAAACTCTGCCCTGACCTGCTGGGACCACCCGCTCTAGGAATGGAGATTATTCACTGAACATCCTGTCCCTGAGGCGCTGACCTCCCCCACACCGGCATCTGCTCCCTGTTGGCTGCGCTCTCACACACTTTTCCAGCCAGAGAATTCCAACTCAGTGGTATCACCATGGCAGGCCACTAGGAGCCAAGTGGCACTAACGTCAAGGGCAAACCAAAAAAAATAACCAAGCTCCTGTTTCCAACACACAGTGACCATGTGAACAGACCTGGCCCACAGGGTCGCCGAGGTTGTAAACCTTGAAGAAAGCAGACTGCCTCATCCTTTTCCCACAGAGACACTGGTGGGGTCAACCAAGCAAGCTTTTGGTTAGCAGCCCAGTGCTTAATCACTGTGCCACCAGGGCTCCTTGAAGGCAAGGGCACAGCCTGATAAAACTGCTTTCTTCCTACCCTTTACCCCATCTTTTTATTTGTTTTATATATACATATATATTTAAATTGTGTTAGATATTTAAAAAGTCATTCATAAACTTTTTGAAGCCCTCTCATGTGTATGTGTGTGTGTGTAAACCAAAACATGTGCTATTTTAACATATAAAAAACCTATTTATAGTGATTCAAATGGGAGTTTACAGAGCAAATTGGCTTTCCATTGCACAATTCAGAAGTATACTGTTTTGTGATATTGCAGTTCTCACCATGCAACAGCACTCTTTCCATTTTCTCCTGTGGTTACCATTTCCACTCATCTTTCTTTCCTATCCCTTCCTGCCTTCTGAGCATCTTCCTAGGGCACATGCTGCCTTTTTGGTCTCCTACGGCTGATTTGTTCTTGTTGTTGTTGTTATGTGCCATTGGTCGAGTTGGCTTTGACCCATAGCAGTCCTGCACCGGGTTTCCAAGGCTGTAAATCTTTATGGGATCAGAAAGCCTCCTCTTTCTCCCGTGGAGCATCTGGTAGTTTCGAACTGCTGACTTTAAGGTTCGCAGCCCAATTCGTAACCACTACGCTAGCAGAGCTCCTTAAGAAGACCTAATTAGGAGGCTGATGAGGAAACCCGTAGAAGAATTGATGCTTTTGAGTTATGGTGCTGGAGGAGAACAATGAAAGTGCCATGGGCTGCCAAAAGAACCAATAGGTCTGTGTTGGAAGAAGTACAGCCAGAGTGCTCCTTGGAGGCCAAGATGACCAAACTTTGTCTCTCATACTGCAGACATATTGTCAGGAGGAACCAGTCACTGAAGAAGGATATGATGTTTGGAAAGGTGGAGGATCAGAGAAAAAGAGGAAGATCCCCAATGATATGAATTGGCCAAGTGGCAGCATCGATGGACTCAAGCGTGGCAACAGTAGTGAGGTTGGCCCAGGATCGGGCAGTGTTTCGTTCTGCTGTGCATAAGATCGCTATAAGTCAGCACTCACTCAATGGCACCTAACAACTATAACAACGCTGGTAACCAGAGGTGTGGCATGCTCTCACCCTCATCCATCCCCAGCTCAGACCCTGCTCTTGAGGAATTTTGAATCATGTGGTTGGGAGCCACACCAGTGTGAGTTTGGGGCTGGCTGTGCCACTTTGGTGTACTGCTTTGGTGTCTGGGTTCAGATGGACAGAACCACCAGACCAGCATTTTACCAGTCACACTGTCCCCAGCTGTTCTGTGGTCCTACCATGCTGAAACCAGCTCTCCATCAAGGGCCCCCATGAACTACTCCAGACTGAGGGCCCTGGACATAGATAACACCGAAGCTAACAGGAACTTCATCTCAAGCCAGGAATTCTGCTGTCACATTCCTTCCACAACCACCTTGTGATCTCCTTGAATTGCACGAGCACCTCCACGCTCTCCTGCCTGCCCCCTGCCCCCCTCCCCACAGAGATTTTTCTGTTCTGGATCCAACAACTGAATTTTTTGTTTTTACAAATAGGACAATCTCACAATGCCCTGGAGACAACACAACAGACAATATTAGCTCACACAAAGAAACAAGAGAGAATGGCTCAAACAAATGACCAAGATGCAGAGATAGAAAACATTTCTGACAAAGGAAAAAGTGAAAAAGGATGATATTTTGGTGCCTTAAACAGATTGACAGAAGGATAGAGGAAAGCAAGGTGAACACACACAAACATGCACACACACACACACAAAACAAAACAAAAAAACTTTAGAAGAATTCAGGAAAAAGCTATAAGAACAAATAGACAAAATAAATGCAAATGTTATGACAATATAAAACCTGCAATTAGCAATGCAGAAGACTAATACTAACACCTCAGAAATGGACAAGACATTGAAAGGGCTAAGAAGTAGATGAGAAGAAATGAAGCCCAAATTAGTGAGCTTGAAGATAAATTTCTCAATACTAGTGTGCTAGAATAACAATCAGAAAAAAGAATGGAAAAATCTGAAGAAGCCTAATAGTTCTGTGGGACACCATGAAGAAGAATAACTTGCATATGATCAGAATTCCAGAACAGGAAGAGACAATAAAAAAAGCACAGAGAAAATTATCAAAGAGTTGTTGGAAGAAAACATCCATAATATCATGAAAGATGGGTAGATAAACATACTAGAAGCTGAATGAATCCCAAACAGGTTAGATCCCAAAGGAAAATCACCAAGACATACCATAATCAAACTTTCCAAAATCAAAGACAAGGAAAGAATTCTGAGAACAGCTCGTGGAAAATGAAATGTTACCTATAAAAGATAATCAACAAGACTAAACTCTGATTTCTTAGCAGAAACCATGCAGGAAAGAAAGCATTGGCGAGCCCTACAATGTTCAATAGATGCCTGTGAACCCGGGTGGACACCTGGTTGGCCAGCAGGGTGGCAAGACCTGAGGAATCTTGGGCCCAGAGTCAGTGACATATCCACAGAGTGGAGAGTGAAGTGTCCAGCTGTTAAGAAGACAAGGCATATGCACAAGAACACCCACACTTGAAGATAATACCCATTTGACCTGGCTTCAATGACTGGATGATCAGAGCTCAACTAAAAGAAGGAAGAAGAGGAAAAAAAAGAGTAATCTAATACAATTTTATGAACTTGACCTACACCTATGGGTGCAGTAGCTCAAAAGAGGGACAAATCTTTACAGCGAGGATCATTCCCACCCCCTCCATACACAGAGTAGACAGGTTTGGGCAACTTGGACATTGGCTACCCAAAATGGGAGGCTACAAAGGCAAGAAGCGACTGGCTTAAAAAAAGAAGCGACTGGCTTACAAGCTTTCAAGAGGGAACCTAGATCCAGAGGGCGTGGAGGAAGGTAGACTCTCCACTGAGTAGTATCCAATCTGTCTAGGTGGGGCTGATGAAAGGAGATATGGATAGGTCTCTTGAAATACTAGTGAATAATTGTTATCAGGACTGATTGTGAGGGTTGGAAATATAAAGGTAGACGTTTTGTAGCAAAAGAAGGAGAGTGATTAACTTTGTAATCTAGGAGCAGAGGTCCCTGGGACCATCAAGGGAGAAGAGCAGAGAGCGGGACCCTAGACACTAGAGAAGGAGGCAGAGACGATGACGTGGAGAGATGGGAACTCTAGACACAGAGAGGGAGAGGGGCTGTGTGCTGACAACCAGGGGGCAGGCTTGCATGGAAGGGATTGTAACCATGGCAATTAAATGATATACGATAGGATGAATGTAAAGTTAATGTTCTCCCAAGTAAACTATCACATAATTCATAATAAAACATTTTAAAAAAGAGAAGACAATGGCATGACATAGACGAACAAATTGCCAACCAAGAATCCTATACCCAGCCAAGATGTCCCTCAAATATCATGGTGAAATTAGGACTGTTCCTGATAACAGAAATTAAAGGAATTTCTAATGACCAGATCAACGTTACAAAATGGACTGAGAGGCAACAAGAGCAGGTAACAACCTGAGATTACCATACGTGACAACACCACCCAGAACTCTATCCAGATATGTTGTTGCTGTTAAGTGCTTTTGAGTTGGTCCTGACTCATAGTCACCCTGTAAAACAAACCTCCAAGACTGAAAATAGGGAACCGGAGCTATCAATGTATAATGAAGTCAACTACAAAGCAAAAAGAGGGAATAGTGTAGATA